GCGGATCTCAAAGTATTTCCCAGCTTGGGGATCGATGCCGTGGAACTGGCTGCTAGTTTTCCGCCATTCTGATTACATTCTCGGGCTATGTGCCCTTGCTTCCCACACTTGAAACAGGCTCCTGATGCACGGTAACAGACTCCACGGTGCCTTTTGCTACAAATGTTGCACATGGGAGCTATGTCTCAGGAAGAACTTGAAGTAGTTGAGGAGCCCGTATTTTGCTTTTTCAAGAATTTCTTCTTCGAAAAAAAGCCCTGTCTTTTGTTGCCCTTCCATTCTGTTGTTGGCTTAGCTTGTCTAGCTATGTTGGCCTCTGATATGATGGCCCTGTCCAGTACCCCAATGTAGGTCTCCAACTTCAAGACATTCACTCTCTCTAGGATGTCACTTCGGAGCCCACCTTCAAAATGTCTTGCCTTCTTATAGTCAGTATCAATTACATGCGGTGCAAACCTGGCCAATTCAGTGAATTTGGCCTCATACTCAGCTACAGTCATGCTGTCTTGCTTGAGTTCCATGAACTCTGCCACTTTTCTATCCCGGACACACTGCGGAAAGTACTTGTCATAGAAGATTTCTAAAAATTTTACCCAGTCAACATCTTTGTGGTTTTCTCGCATCAACATCTACCACCTTCTCGCTTCGTCTTCTAGCATAAAGGTGGCTAGAAGCACTTTCTGTGTATCCAAGCACGGAAACACTTCAAACAGTTTTTCGATCCCAAGAACCCAAGCCTCGGCTTTCAAAGGATCTAGTCCGCCATGGAACTGTGGTGGTTTCATTTTCTTGAATTCCTTGGTGAGAGCTATTATCCGATCATCATTTTGATTATCTGGCACGGGTGGTACCGGAGGTGGAGGTGGCGGGGGTGGTTGCTGCCACTGTTGTTGCCACTCCTGTTGCTGTCTCAAAGCTTTTGCCATTTCTTAGATCAGTCTTTCCATTCTGTCCATTCTGGCAGTAGAAGATTCCTCTATCTCATCACCTCTGGTTCTCACCATCTGATTAAACTTGCATTATATTTTACACAAAAGATACACAAGTGTGCATATACTAAGAAGCACATATTCCCAGATAATTTGTAATGCAAGTAGGTCACAACTTACACATATAATTGTTCATATCAAAACATTTAAGCATATAATCAATGCTTCTAAATTCGTGTTTATGAATGTATCCTAGATCTTATCTAGACGCTTATTGCTCTTTTGGACAAGTGTGTGAGTTATTAACTCGTGCTCTGATACCATTCTGTCATGGCCCGAACCCGCCCCTGTGGGTTAAGGACATAACCGACCAGTAATCCTGAGATTACTTACGGCCTCAACCAAAATGGACATTACTTATCAGAGTAAGGGGCCAAATGGAAGCGAAAATTTAAAACTTTGTCCATAGAGCCGTGCTTAAATGCACATCAAACAAACTATACACATATATGTTAATAACCCACGTCAAAGTACTGTATCACAAAACTCATTACAGACAGGATCATCCAAGAAGAGTCGACCTATAACAGACTATGTACAGACATAAACAAAGCCCTTGCCAGCAAGACAAAACATAAGTAGATGATAAAAGGCAAGGATGGTCTCATGCGTGAGACACGAGGCTGACTCTCCAAAACTCATGTTGTTCCTGGCAGACTTCACTAGGGCTGGGTTTGTGCCTCTCTTGGCTCACCTACAAACACATGAATGAGCGTGAGCGATAGCCCAGTGAAAATATCAATTACAGAATATGCATAACAACGTAGGACAACATATTTCAAACGGCCCTGGGCCCAGTTCATAATTCTATTTAACAGATATGTATATATAACTATACGAAATTCCAACTCAAGTGTCTGTAGTTCCAAACATTCTGGCCTTTGGCCCATTCAGGTTTCCATTCCTGTCAAAACGGCCTTCGGCCCACTCATTTATGTCAAAACGGCCTTCGGCCCATTCATTTTTGTCAAAATGGCCTTTGGCCTATTCGTTTACGTCAAAACGGCCTTCGACCCATACATTTTTGTCAAAACGGCCTTCGGCCTGCTCATTCATGTCAAAACGACCTTAGGTCCATTTATTTCTATCAAAACGACCTTCGGTCCACTTATTCATATCAAAACGACCTTCGGTCCATTCGTTTACGTCAAAACGGCCTCCGGCCCACACGTTCGTGTCAAAACGGCCTTCGGCTCGCTCACTTATGTCAAATCGACCTTAGGTCCATTCATATATGTCAAAACGACCTTCGGTCCACTCATTCCTATCAAAACGACCTTCGGTCCGTTCATATATATATCAAAACGACCTTCGGTCCATTCATTTACATCAAAACGACCTTCGGTCCATTCATTCATTCATGTCAGACTTTTGTCCACAATCCCAATTAACAATTCATAAAGTTTATAAGGGAATAAACAATTGGACATTGACAAGCTTTCAAATATTGATATTACTCACAGTGGTCGGCATGTGGATTTGCCCTGGAACTTGACCTTACACATTTCATGAACACAAAAGGGTCACTAACAGTTCAATCCGTTCTTTAATTCACATACCTCTCTTTAGGCTTAATTCACATTTCATTAGCTCATTTACAATGCCTAATATATGCCTAAGAGTGCTTACAAGTGAAAGAGAATGGGAAAACAGAACACAGAATGCATTTCCAGAATTTCAGAAAATAGGGTCCCCACTCGAGCGTCAACTTACCCGCTCGAGCGGGACTCTAAGGCCTGCAAAAGTACTGGATGGGTGAAATTTACGCTCGAGCGTCAAATATAGCGCTCGAGCGGAAGGCCTCTCAACAAAGCTCCCCACTCGAGCGTGAACTTTCCCGCTCGAGCGGACACCAAGCCTGCAAGAACGAAATACTGGGAACTCGAAATACCCGATCGAGCGGACATCAAAATTCTGGATTTCCCAGATCGTGTTCTTGAGCTCCAATTCAACTTTCCAGCTACAATTCTCGCATGCAATGGTTCAAAACTCAAACATGCACATATTAACATGATACCAATGCAATATTACAACATTAGGAAGCTCAATTTCTTGATTTATCCGCATGCATGTCCCAAAATATGTCAAACTCAACATCAACATAACAACTCATGCATTCAAGCTCATATCTTCTCAAATTGTACATGCATGTGATGGATTAGCCACATTCTCTACTTACATAACACAAAGGGTGATCAAGACATGAGTTTCCTTTAACATTTCACTTGGATTATACACATTTGTGCTTAAACGTGCAATATCAAGGTGATTTCCTACATGCATGCACATATTAAGCTTCAATTCAATAAATACAACCAAATTTCATTTCAATCTTACTCTTGATCACCAAATTAGCTTGAGCACACAAAAATTACAAACTATAATCTAAGAATTACTTACCTAGGAGCTTGATTCTCACAATCTATGATTAAATCTTGAATTAGACTTCCAACCTCCAAGTTTCAAGACCACAATTGCACAATCCCTCTTTATCCCTCTCTATAGTCGGCTCTCCCTCTCAAATTGAGTCCAAGAATCAGTCAAAATGAGCTAAAGGAGAGAAATGAGGTGTAGTGCTCAAATACATCAAGTCCCACTAAGTCAATATAATAATAATAAGGCAATTGGGCACTAATCCACTAATTTAATCGATTTAATCTGACCCGAATCAATTTTTCAATTAAATTTCACCGTATGCTCTAAAAATTATGCCAATCACAATGGCGTAATCAATTCCGGGTTCTGTGGCCGATAAAACCCTCAATTTAATTTCCAAAGCAGATTATTCAAACAGATATTCCGACGGCGAACAGATAGAAATTCAAGATCACATACATTCACATAATGGCACACAAATCACATCAAAACACATACTCACATACGTATTAGGGACCAATTCACATAATACAGAACAGGGGTATCACACTAATATTGTGTACTTCACTAGCGTTAATGCATAAAATCCTCTTGCATGCTATACTTGTGTTGTTTGCATGATATGTCATCATTTGGCATATGATTTCAGTGTCTATATCTCTGCTATACTCTCTTATTTGTCACTCTGTCATTGTGTTTGAGAGTTGTATTTAATGCCTAGCTTGCGAGCCCATGCATGAGCATGTTGTTGTAGCTTTTAGTGCTTCATTTCCAGCATGATTTTGCCACTGTTTTGGCATGATGTAGGTCTATCCATAGTTGGTTTGACCATTTGAGATTGATAATGCATGCCTCTTGTGTAATGTCCTTCACTTGCTTTAGTGCTTTTGGCTCCTTAACATGTCTTGCATGCATTGCTTGCATGATAGAGTCTTGTGCATGCCATTCTAGTATCGAAAGATGAGCATCTTGTTTGCATCGCACTGTGTTTGGATCGGACGTTAATCCAAACACAAGGAATGTGGCACGTTTCATACTCAAAGTGATGAAACGGGCTGCATTTCTTGGTCGCCAACCCTCTTGATCATGCATGATAGAGGTGGAGGCTCTTATGTGTTGTTTGTGCATTCACTAACATTGTGCAAGCTTGGCTCTTTGGCCATCGTGCATTGAGATGCGTGATTGGTGGCTTGAGAGCCGAGTACTACGCTCCTTTGAGCTTGAAAAATGATAAGGAGAGTAGTTGCACACACATTTCCTTGTAAATGCATTGTTGTGCCTTTGTTGATCTTTGTTGCAGCAAAGTTGGGATTCTGGAAAGGGAAGTGGCCGGCCGGCCACTTGCACTAGCCTGCTGACCAGTTGAAGTGGCCGACCGACCAGTTGAGGTAGCCTGCCGACCAGTTGAAGTGGCGGCCAATTGTTAACACCAGATGAAAAAAATCTGATGTTCATTCAAAGCTTTTATTTTAGTTTCCAAAATACCCAATATTTTAATATCTTCATGTAGCAAAAATTTTCTAACTTCTCTATGTCTATGAGGATTATTAAATCCTCTAACATTCCAAGATGCAATTTTTAGAGACATTAGAAACAGCAAAAATTTAGAAACCCACAAACCAGCTAAGACTGGGATTACCTGTGCTTCTTCCTTTGGCTTTTGTTGCCTTTGCCAGAGGAGTTACCTTTTACATTAGAGCCAGTTTGGGCTTGTTTGTCAGTTTGAGTACTGCTTGGGGTCGATCCCACTAGTTTCTCCACTCTAGCCAGCAGATCTGTATCATGTGGAAGGGCAAAGCTTGTAATTTCAACTAATTCCTTCTGTAAAGCCTCCAGTCCATCCATCTTACTTTCCTTTAACTCTCCACCCCTTGTGCTCAACTCATCACTGTGAGTTTGGTCAGAAATCTTCTCCCCAGGCTCCACCTGAACTAGCACTTCTTGTTGACTTTGCCCCTCCGCAAGCTTATGCAAACCATCCTCCTGAGGCACCTCTTGGTTTACTGACTTTGTAGGAGGATCTGGAACACCCACCTTCCTCTTACCCTTAGCCATGACAGTTTCCCAACCAGGATCCAGATTATTTTCAATTTCTTTTTGGAGGTTGATTAAAGCAGCAACTTGGGTTTTCACACATCTGGATGTATCATGCCCAAAAGCAATGCAGTGCTCACATTTGGGGGGTAAGCCTTGATATTCAACCTTGATGACAGCATCTACACCTTCACAGTTCACTTTGAACATCGCTGGTAAGTTGGATGTTGCTTCTATCTCGACACAAACCCTAGCGAAGGACACCTTACTACCCTGTTCTGTGAGTTGGTCCATAAATAAAGGAACACCTACAGCACTTGCGATATGGCTTAAACTATCACTGTCCCAATACTCGAAAGGGACATTGAAGAATTTAGCCCACACAGGAACCTTGGTAGCTTTATCCTTTGTCAGTCTCATCATACGGGTCCATTTCTTCAGGAATAGGTTAAAACCACCAATATACTAGGGCCCTCCCTCAAGAACTGAGTTACAACATTCTAGGTTATCAAAGATAAAAAAAACTGAACCCTTCCCTATTGGCTAACACTTCTTTCAACCCTTTAATTTTCCATAGACCAAAGGCACTGTTTCTCAAATAATTATAGGATACCCCTTTATCAAGAAAATATCCAACCAAGCAAGAGTCCCATTTTTCTAAAGGGTTAGGCCGTGGGGGTAAGTTCACACTAACATAGCCCTCACTATGAACAGGAGGAACATACCTCAAAGGGTTACTAGATCGAGTAGATGAAGCAACCACATCTGCCCAGGTTCTTGTTTCTTTGCCTTGACCTCTACCTCCCCCTTGTCCTCTACCCCCCTTCCGCTTCTGAAATTAGAGATGCCCCCCCTTCAGGGATACATCTCCTCTCAACCTCTTTCATCGCTAAAATCAGGGATAGGAGGTTCTTCAGTTACTTGTACAACTTTGTCAGGAACAGTGTTCACATCTGACGCCTTTTCTGTAAGCAGATCAACCTTGGATTCACCATGGCCCTTGGCTTCGTATCTGTTTCAAGCAACCAATATGCTATCTGGGAGATTTTGGAACATAGGAGTGTCTACATCCATCTAATCCGATCATCGAGAAGACGATTGAGACCCATCTAGGATGATAGGTGTCATGATCGACGGAGAAGGATCTTTCATCCTCACCAATCGATCTGCAACTCTATGGATGTCTGAATCCATCATACGAGCCTATCGATCTGTTTGGTTTAGGGTTTTCTCCACTCCCTCAGTGTCATCAATCTACCCTGGAATCAAAACATTCCCTTAGATTTTCTCCTCAGTTGCGTCCATTTGTGCCTCACTCAAAACTTCGAATTTGTTACTCACAAACCCTAGGTTATCACTCACGTTTTTCAACTTTGAATCCTCCCTTATCGGATCACTAACCCTTAAACTCGAAAGTCTCTCAGAAAAAGGCAAAGCATTAACTCCAAACATCGTATTCAGTGATAGATTGAAACCATAGAAACAACCTTTTCTAGAGAGATGCTAGAGCTTCTCACTCCAACCCATTTTTTTTTTCAAAGGCCATTTTCACATGAATGGATGGGCCGAAGGCCGTTTTTACATGAATGAATAAATGAGCCGGATGTTGTTTTGACAAGAATGAATGGATGGGCCAGAGGCCGTTTTGACATGAATGAGTGGGCCAGAGGCCGTTCTGATAAGAATGAATGGATGGACCAGAGGCCGTTTTGACAAGAATGAACGGTTGGGCCAGAACCCGTTTTGACATAAATGAATGGGCCAGAGGCCAGTTTGACATAAATGATTGGGCCAGAGGCCAGTTTGACATAAATGAATGGTTTTCCATGTATCTATGCTGTGAAAGTACATAATGCACCCTTCTCACATCATCAACTGGGAAGAAATCCAACTCAATGAGGACGCTACCTTTGAAGAGGGACCTGTAGCAATTATAGACAGTCAAGAAAAGAATTTGTGAGGGAAGACAATTCACCTTCTTAAGATACTCTAGCGTCACCATGGTATTGAAGAGTTCACCTGGGAACGTGAAGACGCGATGCGGGCAAATTATCCACAACTATTTGAGACGTAAGTGTAGACACCCCATTTTTGACCGACCTTAAAACTCAGACATCACTGATTGAGCGCTTGGTGATGTTGCATAATGTGCTCGTTCAGAAGTCTCAGAGTCGCGGCCGTGAGCCCTGCCTCCGGATTTCCGAAGAAGAGCCGCAACCTGAGTTTTCACACATCTGGCTGTATCATGCCCAAATGCTATGCAGTGTTCACATTTTGGGGGTAAACCTTGGTATTCAACTTTGACTATGGCTTCTATTCCTTCACAGTCCACCTTAAACATAGCAGGTAGGGTAGATGCTGCTTCTACCTCAACACACACCCTAGCAAAAGACACCCTACTCCCCTGTTCCGTGAGTTGGTCCATAAAAAGGAGAACACCTACAGCACTGGCTATACGACTTAATCCATCACTATCCCAGTATTCGAATGGGACATTAAAGAACTTAGCCCACACAGGGACCTTGGTAGCTTTGTCCTTAGACAATTTCATCATGCGGGTCCATTTTTTCAAGAACAAGTTGAAACCTCCAATATACCAAGGTCCTCCCTCAAGGACTGAGGTACAACATTCTGGGTTATCAAAAATGAAAAAGCTAAACCCTTCCCCATTAGCTAAAACCTCTTTCAACCCTTTATTTTTCCATAGACCAAAGGCACTGTTTCTCAAATAATTATAGGATACCCCTTTATCAAGAAAATATCCAACCAAGCAAGAGTCCCATTTTTCTAAAGGGTTAGGCCGTGGGGGTAAGTTCACACTAACATAGCCCTCACTATGAACAGGAGGAACATACCTCAAAGGGTTACTAGATCGAGTAGATGAAGCAACCACATCTGCCCAGGTTCTTGCTTCTTTGCCTTGACCTCTACCCCCCTTCCGCCTCTGAAATTAGAGATGCCCCCCCTTCAGGGATACATCTCCTCTCAACCTCTTTCATCGCTAAAATCAGGGATAGGAGGCTCTTCAGTTACTTGTACAACTTTGTCAGGAACAGTGTTCACATCTGACTCCTTTTCTGTAGGTAGATCAACCTTGGATTCACCATGGCCCTTGGCTTCGTATCTGTTTCGAGCAACCAATATGCTATCTGGGAGATTTCGGAACATAGGAGTGTCTACATCCATCTAATCCGACCATCGAGAAGACGATTGAGACGCATCTAGGATGATAGGTGTCATGATCGACGGAGAAGGATCTTTCATCCTCACCAATCGATCTGCAACTCTATGGATGTCTGAATCCATCATACGAGCCTATCGATCTGTTTGGTTTAGGCTTTTCTCCACTCCCTCAGTGTCATCAATCTACCTTGGAATCAAAACATTCCCTTAGATTTTCTCCTCAGTTGCGTCCATTTGTGCCTCACTCAAAACTTCGAATTTGTTACTCACAAACCCTAGGTTATCACTCACGTTTTTCAACTTTGAATCCTCCCTTATCGGATCACTAACCCTTAAACTCGAAAGTCTCTCAAAAAAAGGCAAAGCATTAACTCCAAACATCGTATTCAGTGAGGGATTGAAACCATAGAAACAACCTTTTCTAGAGAGATGCTAGAGCTTCTCACTCCAACCCATTTTTTTTTCAAAGGCCGTTTTCACATGAATGGATGGGCCGAAGGCCGTTTTTACATGAATGAATGAATGAGCCGGATGTTGTTTTGACAAGAATGAATGAATGGGCCGGAGGCCATTTTGACAAGAATGAATGGATGGGCCAGAGGCCGTTTTGACATGAATGAGTGGGCCAGAGGCCGTTCTGATAAGAATGAATGGATGGGCCAGAGGCTGTTTTGACAAGAATGAACGGATGGGCCAGAACCCGTTTTGACATAAATGAATGGGCCAGAGGCCAGTTTGACATAAATGATTGGGCCAGAGGCCAGTTTGACATAAATGAATGGTTTTCCATGTATCTATGCTGTGAAAGTACATAATGCACCCTTCTCACATCATCAACTGGGAAGAAATCCAACTCAATGAGGACGCTACCTTTGAAGAGGGACCTGTAGCAATTATAGACAATCAAGAAAAGAACTTGCGAGGGAAGACAATTCACCTTCTTAAGATACTCTGGCGTCACCATGGTATTGAAGAGTTCACCTGGGAACGTGAAGACGCGATGTGGGCAAATTATCCACAACTATTTGAGACGTAAGGGTGTCGGAGCATGGAATCGCTGTAGACCCAGCCAAGGTGGAAGCAGTATTAGATTGGAAGCAGCCAACCTCAGTATTCGAAGTTCGTAGTTTCTTAGGGTTGGCCGGCTATTACCGACGGTTTATTTAAGACTTTTCTAAACTAGCTAAGCCGATGACTCGTCTAACGCAAAAAGGGGTAAAATACGATTGGAACGAAGCATGTGAACAATCCTTTCAAGAACTCAAGAGTAGATTGACTAGTGCCCCAATACTCATCATTCCGGAGCAAGACATAGGATATACGGTATATTGCGACGCGTCCAAGGATGGGCTAGGTTGTGTACTAATGCAAAAAGGGAAGGTGGTGGCTTACGGCTCCAGGCAACTGAAACTGCATGAAAAGAATTATCCGACACACGATCTAGAGTTGGCAGCAATGGTTTTTACGTTAAAGCAGTGGCGTCATTATTTGTATGGTGAACAATTTGAGATTTTCACGGACCATAAGAGCTTGAAGTATTTGTTCACGCAGAAGGACTTGAACATGAGATAGAGACGGTGGCTAGAATACCTCGAAGATTACCATTTTACTCTATCCTATCATCCTGGCAAAGCTAACGTGGTGGCGGATGCCCTGAGTCGCAAGAACCGGGGAATTATTGCTAGCTTAGCACTCAAGGAATGGAACATGGTCGGAACACTTAATGAGTTTGGAACCCCGCTCGCCCGTCATAGACCGGCCTCTACTAACCATGATATCAATTTTTTGAAAAACATTGTGAGTTCTTTATTCCGGTTTATTAGCCTAGGTTACTATGTGATGCGCACAGCATACAAGTATAGACCGGGTCGCCTGAATTGGAACAAAACATTTCATGTTTGTTTGTTTGAAAATGGTTTGATGGTGCTACTCGCAAAGTAGGCTAAGACGTGGATTTGCCACCCTCGAGTGGCTTAGAAAACATGATTTCGCCACTATCTAGTGGGCTTAAAACAAACATTTGATGAATTTGTCCCAATTCAGATAACCCAACCTTCACCCACAGGCATTCAAGGCAGTTATATCACATAAGCAAATAGTCTCATGGTAAGCATGCTATTCATGGCAGTCACTCACACGCCTGCAAGGATGCTAAAGCATAAAACTCACCGAGTACTCCAAGCCCAAAACGGAAAAACTATGTTAGAAATCATGCATGGTCCTAAACATACAGAAAT